CCTGAAGGGGTACTGACAGGATCAAGACCATCTGTGTGGGCTGGGGGGGTACATGGAAACTCTAATTCCCATTCAATTTTGTTATGAACCTAAAACTGCTCTAAGGAAATAAAATCTGTTTAAAAAAGAATGGTTAAAATGTGCTCTTTTGTTTTTGTTTTTTTTTACCAACTGCCTATTCCTAGCAACTATTTACATACTTATGGAATTGGTGCCTTTCCTTTTGGCTTGGGATATATTTAACTCTGCTGAGATGGGGGGGTTTCCATAACCGGAAGTACAAATCTGCAGCTCCCAAGACAGAAAGCAGTTATGACTTAACTGCCAGTACATTCCACTGTGGATCAAACTCAGAAACTTAGCCCTCCACAGATCACAGCAGAAGTAGAACCAGTGCCACTCACTGTGGTAATGGGACTAGGGAACACAGTGGGTGGAGGAAACTGGAAGGGAAGGAACAGAAAATACGCAGAAAGTCTAAGGAGACAGGTCTAGTGGGCAGTCATTCATTTATTTATCTTGAAGAAATGGCTATTTTTCCCAGTACTGTGGAAATCTCTTGCTTAGGGTGTGAAAGTGATTCCTTGTCCATTAAAAGATGACTTCAAACCTGCCCACAAGCTTCCTGCCCTTCCACCCTGCATGACTGTGAACAGTCGTTTCACTTCGTTGTAAATCTTGTTCCCCAGCTGCTACTGGGCCACACTCCCACAGGAACTAGAGGGCAGAGCCACCTGGGTAGGGGAGGCCAAGTGGTCATCCTGCCACAGGTCCCAGCTCCAGGGAGGTGCTAACTAGAGTGAAGAACCCGCAGTCTCCAAGGGAACGCTTGTGGGACCAGCTCCTGGCTGCCCCTGGCTGCCCGTGTAATGGATTAAGCCACGTCTCAGTGCCTGCCCAGCAGCTGAGCACTGAGCCCCACGCAGAGGAACACAAAAAGCCACACTCACCCTGTCATCTATTCTAAAACATACACAGATATGCCAGACAGGCGGAGAGAATCATAATTCATACATTCCACCTTCCTTAAAAATAAGTCCAAATTAGTGAGAAAAACAACTTTCAAATTAGTACTTTTGTTTTTTCCAAAAAAGGAAAAAAAAAAAAAAGAAAAAGCTGAGCTGTTACAGTGGGAAGGGAAGGGGAGGCCTCACCTGTTCCAGGGGCCATGCAACAATCTCAAACCTAACACAGACTTAAAGCCTGAGAAAAGTTCTGGAAGGATCCTATCAACTGTTCTCTAACGCTGCTTCAGCATGGTTTGAAACAGTTAACAACCTTGTACAGGTGTAACTTTTTAAATAAATCAGTTTATTTTAAAAACCCAGACAAAGGCTGGCCAGCACTCAGGCCCTCGGGAGTCTGGACTCAGGTGGGGTGGGGTCCTTTGAAGGCAGCCAAGGAGCCAGTGGATACAGCAGCTCAGCAAGGCTTGCTGACCACAGGGACTCCACAACTGTGGAAGCTGCAGGGTAGGAAAGCCACCAGGCCTTTAAAAACCCCTATGGCAGCACAGCAGGTGTCTGGAAACCCAAGAGGCCAAAGCTCAGAGGAGTAAGAGAGCAGCTAACAGGGCTCCAAGATTCTGCAGGAGGAGGATGTGGGCTCTAGGGCAGCAGCTGGTCATGCAAAGCTGCTGATGGGTGGATGGATCTGCCTGGCTCCTGGGTCTCACAACTCCATGTTCTACAGTACGCAAAATTCAGATCAGGTCCTGGCATATGGAAATACCACTCCTGCCAGCTCCACCCACTCCCTAGATCAGTGAGGCAGGCAAGCAGAGCCATATGAACAGGATGCACTGGCTGCTCAAGTGAAGTGTCCCAGTCAGCTGCTCAGGGCTTGTTTGCAGCCAAGAATGCAGCAGAGAGTATGGAATCCTGTTACTCTCATGAGGGGACTCAGAGCTTCTAGATGGGTGGCAAGGGTTTGGCGGGGGGGGGGGGTAGGTAACACATTCCTAAATCAAGGATTTAAGATTTTAGGATTTTTTTCCTATTTGATAACAGGAAGCAGCAGTAGAAGCATATGGGGACATTCCTAAACCCTTGTAAAATAAAAACCTTCCCCCTTGAAAACCTCACTTCAGAGGAAGAACATAACCATTAAAAAGTAGAGGACTGGGCCGGGGATTTAGCTCAGTGGTTCTGGCGCCTGCCTCGAAAGCATAAGGTCCCAAGTTCGATTCCCGGTACCAAAGAAAAAGGACTCTAAAAAGCAGGGAACATGTTAAGACTGTTAGGCGCAAACATGGCTTCATGGCTTACAAAATCCAAACCAAAGGGATGTCCCCAGCATCTGTGCCTGCTCCAAGTCAGGCCCTGTGAGCCATGAGTTCCACCCCAGCCCCACAAAGGGAAAAGTGCCCCACAGGAGACAGAACACTGATGTGGGTACCGCCAGAACCAGAACCAGGTGCTGGGCTCCAAGGACTCTGTTTTGCTGCTGCAAGTATCCTTAGCAGTTAAGCCTTGGGGTGACAATGGGTGGGGGGAAGGCAAGTATCTGCACTTCTATGCATTTATACTGAGATCAGATGTCCATGTGGTGGGATGGTTACAGGAGCTGGTGAAGGCGTTGGCAGCTCAAGCATCGTAAACTGGATCCTTCTAAATAGACCATCAGAAACACTTGCTTGATCACTTCCCAAGGAAGAACCAAAATACCCATAGGCCCCTTTATGGCTTCAATACTAAAGCCAGCTACCTCCTTCTCTGCAGAGGTCCAAGTTACGTTATCAAAGTAAGGGGGACCTGAACCCAGCCAGGTCTTCCTACACCACAGAGAGCAAGAGTGAAAATACACACACACACACACACACGCACGCACGCACGCACGCACGCACGCACAGTGCTGCACCTGTCCTACGCCAGCCAAGCTTGGCGCCCGAACTGAGACCCAGAGCTACACACTGGGTTCGTTTGCTCCTGTAACACCTACGAATGGGTAGAATTGGGCCTGTCCAACTTGTGACCTATGGCCTGCTTATCTCCTTTTTTTAAGTGTTACAATAACAAGTATTAAAAAATAAAGCAAGTTCCGTTACTTATTCACATTACATATTTTATGTGTGGCCCAAGACAATTTCTCTTCACTCAGTGTGGCCCAGGCAAGGCAAAAGGTTGAACTCTCATGGACTAGTTGATGTTTACTACATCATCTGAATGGTCTGACTTCAAATACTGCTATGTGTGACACAAAAATGTTACTGGCAATGGAGGAGGGTATTTAAACAAACAGGCAGCGCCCTCCAGAGTAGCTGAAAAGCCTATGGAAGCCCTGAGACCATGTTAGAAGATAGATCAAGTAGATGGAGCACCTAGTTTAGGGTCCTCTCCCTCAATCCTGGGGCCATCTATTTGAGCCAGCCTATGTAGCATCCTAACTGGGGGTCATCCCCTATCCTGCCCTTACCTATTATCCCTTGTGCCTGGGAGCTGGCCCTCCTCTAAGGTTTCCTGAGGGCAACAATGAGACCACAGACTTCACTTAGGTGCCAACCGCTCCGCTTGTCTGAAAAATTAAAACTCCCCAGTGTCATTACACCACACAGTCACCACAGGCAAAAATGTCCCCTGGGCAACACCACTAAAATCTAGGTGCTGTGTGCCCCTCTGCCATCAGTGCCAAAGATGGCCAGGGGCATTCCAGGGCATGCTTTCGGGTCGTTTTTGCAAAGGTGAGATTCCACTCTCAAAAACAGGGCTGGCTGGAAAGGAACATGGTCACCACCACACATGTTTTCCTTGTTTTTATTACACTGGGTCTACAAATTTTGAATCAGCCTGGGCTGGCACCAGATTAGGAATTACAGTAAATACTTGGCCACATCTTCCCTTCTTGGTAACCATAGCCTCCAATGTGACCTAGCTTTTTAATGATATGCAGACATACTCTCAGCTGGATACCCAGCGAGAGCCAATGACAGTCACTCTCCAACATGTACAAGTGCCTACAGGTTCACCTCTTGTAGGATATATTAAAAGTCATGATTCTTCCGTGAGGAGCTGGCTGCTCTAAAAACACCACACACATGTCCTCACAGATATGCTTATTTCACACTGAACATGTTCGAGCTCTAGGAATACCATTTAAAACCTACATTTTCATCTCCGTAGTGTACCACACCCTTGTTTTTCCTGGCAAAGCCCCTGGAGTTTAAAGTCCAGAGGAGAATTTTCTTTTGATTCCACCAGAATAAGGCAATGTTGGCAGCACAGTTCCATTCTTCCACACTTCTATGACATTAAAGTGGGCTTATGACCACAAACATTTTGTATTAGTATATGTCTCCATATATGTTGCCTGAAAATCTGACAAACCTCATTCTTAACTTGAATTCCTTTCACATACACAACTTCCTCGGAAAACTCCTGGGCTCCTCCTCCCGCAGCCTCAGCAGGGGCCTGGACTGGGAGTGGATCTCTCACTTCCACACTTCAGCCACAGTGCATATTCCAAGGGGGCCAAACCAGTTCCAGGAGCCTTTGTGACTGAGTCGCTTACCGCAGTTTCTCGTTCCCCCTCCACAGCTAGGGTCCCTCTACCAGTCTATGCCCTCCCTAGGAGCAAAGGCTTTCTGGAGCACTTAAAACTTCTCCCTCTCTGGTTTTTTAGTACAAAAACTGGGTCGCCACGCGAATCCCCAAAACATTTGCTGCACACCGAGATTACAGGGGATGGGTCCCAAGGCAGTGGGAGTCGCCCCCTCACCTTGGAAGGCACCCCCTTCTCCTCAGGGTCCTTGCCTGGACCTTCACTTTCCCCGACCTCAGCAAGAACACTGACACAACAGGCGCTGAGTGCCTCGCGGCAGGCAGGGGTGGTACCATTCGTTTTCACAGGGCGGAAACTGAGGCTCATTCATGGGTATACAGAAGTCAAGGGGCAGAGCTGGACCAGAACCCAGGTCGGACGCTCCAGAATTCCGTCCAGTCGGTACGGCCCGGCGCCCTCGCCGCGCCCTCCCCTCACGGACCCACCTAGTCCCCCGCGCCCACCTCGTCGCCGAAGCGCACCAGCTTCTGGCCCGTGGGCCCGGGCAGGCCGGGGAAGCGCGCGGGGTCCCCCGGTTCTCCCGAGTCCGTGGGTCCTGGGGCGTGCGGGCCCACCAGGCAGCGGTCGATGATCTCGTCCTGCTGCGCGGGCGGCAGCCGCGCCCACTCGGGCCCGTACTTCTCACGGATCTTCTCCTTGTCCTGCATGATCTTCCTGGCCATGGGGCTCAGAGATGAGAAGTAGGTGAAGCGCTTCCGCTCCCTCTCGTCCAGTGGCCGGTTCACGCTCATGACCGCGGAGCGCGAGGCCGCGATCGCCGCCGCCATGGACGCCATGCCCGGCCCGCCAGAGGACCGCCCCTGCCCGTGCCGGGCTTACCAGTCCCCATCTGTCCCCGCCCCCACCCCACCCCTGCCTCGTGCCTGGAGTCCCGCCCCATCCCTCCACCAATCAACTTGCTCTCCGCTCCCAGAGCCCCGCCCACACCCTGAGTCAGGCCCTCTGCTCCGCCCCTAACGCACCTCCCTCCCGAGCACCACCCGCCCGAGCCAGGCCCTCCTCTTTAAGCAAGGCCTCGAACCCCGCCCCCTTCGCCTCAGGGCCCCGCCCCTCCCACCGCCTGCCCCGCCTCTCTTTCTCAAGGCCCCGCCTCTCTCTCCTCCCTCCCTTGAGGCCCGTTCCGGTCGGGGGCGGGGGGGCCACACTGCAATCTCCAGGAGGCCTGAGCGTCCCTAAATCCCCGCTCAGCTGTCGGGCAGGGCTACTTTGGTGACTGCGGCCGCCGACCGCCATGACGCCACGTGGTCATGCTGACAAAGGAAACTTCTCTGCCCGCTTGCCTGGCAAGGCCGGCGCCCCGCAGCCCCGCCCCTCCCCGCTGCCCGCCAGGTGTTCTCCGAGGGGTCCGCGACGCTGGCCCGGTCCACCCCCGCGCTGACCCGCTCTGGCGGACATTGGGGCACCGGGGAGTCAGAACTCGCCCCTAAGGACAGTGAGTCGCCCCTCAAAGCCTGAAGGAGGCTGGGACGCCTAGGCGCTTCCTTTCACGCACGGCCCTGTGCTCCCCAAAGCTTGCCTTTGAAAGCAAGCTCCAGATGTTCCCTGGACCTCAGGAGTATATCTTTACCCGTCCCGTTATTAAACAGGGATTAGAGGAGAGAAGACGGATTCGGGTCAGTGTGCTGAACCTAACATAGAGCATCAGCTTAAATGGAGAATAACAATACCAAAAAATAAAACTTCCAAAAATGGCAAGGCTGATTCTGGAATCTTAGAAATCACAAGAACTCTGAGCAGCTCTCTTTTTGCAAACTGGACAGGCGGAAAGTTTTCACAGGCAGAGAAGCAACAGCCAGACGGGGCCAGGCTTGTGAAATGTCTTTGTTACAGGCCACAAGATTAAAATTATACCAGAGGCTGTCACAAGGCTGTGACATATCTGAGGTGAGAATTAAATATCCAGTCAAAAACTGTCAACTGTTGCTTGGGATCTTTGCCTCTGAAATAACACTTGTAGAATTTTAAACACAAACAAATAACTTGCAAAACCATTTTCTAAACATGAGAGGCTTTACTGTCTTCCCCCCCAGAATCCCAAGAATGTTTTTGGAATGTCAGCACTGTGGCAGGTTCTACAATAAAAGATACTACTCTCAAGGACATTATCAGCATGATCTATTGAAGCAATAGGAAGTAGCAGCTGTTATCCATCTAACAGCCTGAGCTGGATTTATTTATGAAGCCAAAAGCTTGGGAAGTTGAGTTTTGGGTATTATTCTTCCCTATTTAAGTTGATGGTAGGTAGGCTCAGTACACTTACCCGAACGTGCCTGCCCCAATCCCTTTTTAATAACATGGGTGGTGCATAAAGATGTATTCCTGAGATTTGACAGACACTTAGGAGCTTGCTCTGAAATTCACATAGGAAGGATTCTTTGGCATTAAAAGGTTGATCTCGAAAAAAAAAAAAAGTTGATCTCATGCTGTTCTCAAAGCAGTTGCAAAAATAAATGTTGCTTTCCAAAAGAGCACAGACCTGTTAAGTGTTTTGGATAAAATATAATTTATTGCCAAAGAAGTTTTCAAAATAATATAAAAAGTTTTCAAAATAATAGAAGACATTGGACAAAGTATGAAGTCATGGGCCAGATGATAAGGTGTAACTGAAAGGAACATTGTTCCATATTATAAGAAGAAACTCAGGGCTGTGACAGATGCCTTGGCTGAAATTAGAAGCATTATATATATGACTGCCTGTATCTGCATACAGTGCCGTGGGGAGGGAGGGCTAGATGTAGCCAAACTCTTAAATATGTAATAAGAGGCAGTGGTCTGAATATTTGTGCTCCCCTCAACCCAAACTCATATGTTAACTCCTAACCCTCAAGGTCATGATATTAGGAGGGGGAGTCTTTGGGATGTTGATCAGGCATGAGGGTAGAGCCTTAATGAATGGTTAGTACCCTTATAAAAGAGACCCAGGGAGCTCTGTTGTCTCTTCTTCCCCATGTGACGACACAGTGAGATGGCACTACCTACGAACAAGGAGACAGCCCTCACTAGACACCAGATCTGTTGGTGCCTTGACCTGGGACTTCCAGCCTCCAGAGCTGTAAGGACCAAATCTTTGTCATTTCTAAGCATCCATTTTATGTGCTATTTTATTTCTATGCACCACAGTGCAAACAGATTTAAACATAAGGTAAAATACTGGGGCAGCTCCCTGCTGAGCACCTGTCTGATCCGCTCCACCTGCTACAACACAGCACCAGAGTGGGGACTCACAGAACAGGCAGGTGTCTGCGGAGGTCCTGGAGTCTGCAGATCCGAGATCAGGTGCCAGCATGGTCAGATTCTGCTGAGGGAACTCTCTTGGGTTGCACATTGCTGACTTCTCGTATCCACAAGTGGCAGAAAGAAAAGGAAGGAGCAAGCCCTCTCGTGACTCATAAGGGCACTAATCCTGCTTGTGAGAGTGCCAAACTTCGACCTCATCTAATTCTAATCTCATCCCTAAGGCCTCACCTTCTAATACTGCCACATTGGGGTGTATGGCTTTAACATCTTGACTTTGGGGGACACAGACATCCCCTATATAACAGCATCTTCTTAAGTCTCATTGCTGAGACAAAATACGCGACAACCACAAGTTCAAGGAGGAAAAGTTTATTTCAACTCACAGTTTGTGAAGGTTCAGCTCATAGTCAGCTGGTTCCAAGGCATGGCAGCATGGCAGAGGGGCATCACACAGGGGAAACAGTTCATGGTGTGGCAGGCAGAAGGCAGCGGTGAACCAAGCCTCCCTTTTCCTTTTATCCTACCCAGGCTACAAGCTTTTTGTGCGGTGCTGTCCACACCCAGGGTGGGCCTTCCCATTATCTACATCCAGAACTATGCTAATTCCAATCAGTGGACTAATTTAGTACCATGCACCCTTAATTGCAGTATCACATGCCCTAGATCCAGCCAGCTCTGAAAAGCCCCACCTATGAGTGCAGAGGCTTTGGGGGGACATCTAGATACAAGCCATGACAGCCAGAATTTGGATGGAGGAACCCACTTTGCACTTTTCTTGAAGAAAAAAGAAAGGGGGCCACAAACTCGGTTCACAGAATGGGAAGAAAGGCAAGTCATCCTTGGCTCCTTAAAATGCCTTCACACCAGTGGTTTATAGAGGTGTTTGCTTCTTTATGTGAAGTGCTGTGGTGATAGAGGAAAAGGGCATGAGAACGGGCTCAATGCAGTGGATGTACTGGTGATGACAGTTGGTATTTACGTAGGATCAGTTCTCGCACACTCTTCCTCGATGTTAGGGAGACGTGACAGGAATGCTTTACCTAGGGATTGAACACCTCTGGAGCTCTTCCTTTGCAAATGACATTTCGGTTGTTGCTCTTGGGTGTTCTGGAGTCCCCACCAGGATGAAGCCTGCACTACAGAAGAACTTTATCTGTCTTGTTTCCTGTTGTGAATAACAATGTTTGATTTCAAGTAAGGGCTCAGTGATGCTTGATAAATGAATCATGAATGAGTGAATAAATGAATGCTCGGAAATTGGCATTATTAATCCTCTCTTTACAGAGAAGGGAACAGATAAGACATCAAGGGAGAAGACTCAACCAAGATCGTTTCCTACCTGCCTTTGTGACTGGGGATAGAACCGAGGTCATGGAACAGAGGTTCATTTGACTTTAGTTAAATATCAAACATTAGATCAACATGTCTAAATAATGACTGGGAATAATAACAATATTTTAGAACTTGGTTTATGGATATAATTTATTGAAGTTCCTATGCCACTCCCTGGTCAAACACAGCACTGATTTTTTCAGTGTAATAATGAAGTACTTATGGTGGTGACCAGGATCAGCATTACAGGTCTGAAACCCTGACTAAAGTCGTTGCCCAGGAACAACTCTAGATCAGCCTCTCTAAAACAAAACCAACTACGGGAGAGCTGAGTGTAGCCCAGCAGAGCACTTGCCTGGCATGCACAAGGCTCTGGATTCCAGTACTGCAAAATAAATATATAAATACCATAAAAATTCTAGGGAGAAACACAGAGAGTAAGGCCGGTTGGCCACAAGAAGATGGCAAATCTCCACAAGAAACCTATTGTGCCCTGCTGGAGCTGGACGCAGGCATCTTCAAGGACAATTACTACCATGTCCTTCTGTCCTCGTCCTGGAGTCCTCAGAGCACATCAGAGGTGGGACTGTTATCTGCTCTTATTACTGTCTTAAGTGCATAGAAATTAACTTTCCCTTTTGAAGTAACTACCTATATATTTGACTGTTTCTTTGGCATTCATGCTCACATATCCTCACATGTTTTATTCAGCTGCTTTGGTGGGTGTACAGTACACAGTATTTTATATTACATCTGTTCCTCTAGTGAGCCCTAATAGATACAGACATTGTTGAGTTACATTTGGAGCTAAGGAAGCTGCTCCTGCCCCAGGACTCATGCAGTCCAAGCCTCGGGTCCCAGACGGGAGCCAGAGAGGTCCAGGGACACTGCCTCATAGGACTTGGCACCTAGCCCTAGGCTGTCCCATCTGTCCCCAGACCAGGAATGTCCTTCAGTGCAGGAAGGCTGGGAAGGGTGAGGGCCTCTGCTTCCCAGGGCTTAGTCCAGGCCTCCGAAGAGTAGGGGCTGCCTGGCCTGGGGCAGTGAGGTGTGGGAGGGACCAGTACTCGGCCTCTTCCTGCCCAGTGTCCTCTCTGACCCCAGAAGCACAGACTGCATGGGTAGAGGAACTGCTCATCTCTTTGCCAGTTGAGTGTATGGGCAACACTTGTCTGTCTCCTCTCTCAAACTGCGTTGATCCCCTTTGTTCTGTTTTCTTGGCCCCTCCAGGTCCTGGTGGTCTCACTTGCCCTCCACACCCTAAGGT